ATGAAGAAATTATTGAAGATAACTGATGAAGATCGATGGCAGAAAAACAGTCTAAATATATATCTGATTTTACATTAGTTAAAGTTCCTGAACTTGGAGAGCCAGTGATAACTGTTGAGGACATTTGGTGAATAATTTGGTCTCTAATAGTAATAATTTTATAATAAAAGAATCTCATGAAATCGTTGTTACTTAAGATTATGGGGATATGTGGCTCAATAGAGCTGTGACTCTCTGTCAGCCTGGCTACAGTGCTGAAGAGGAACCTGGGATTGTTCTTATTTTCTTCTATTAGTGCTGAGTAATAGGCTCCTCTGGCATTACGGAAGGCCTTTCTATAGGTTTTAAGATTATCTTGCCAAATTGAGCGATATTCTAATAATTTGGAAGAGTGCCATTTCCTTTCAGATTTCCTTGCTTTTTGCTTTAATATCCTATGTTTTAATATTTTCCTCTTTATAGGAGCGATAGAATCTAATGTTGATCGTAGTGAGCCTGCAGCACTATTAACTAGTGCTGTCAGTTTAACGCGTTATTAACGGCGTTAACGCAAACCCATTTTAACGGCGTACATTTTTTTATCACGAGATTAACACCTAGCACACTTTGTAGTTTTTTTCACATGCTGTTGCAACAACTAGTAACATTAGAAAAACCTACAACACCACACCGGATCTAGCTAGACCAGAAACAAAACAACAGGCACACCGCACACACTTGTTTAAGAGTAGTAGACGTTACGTTTTGAGTGGATGGTGAGCGCGAGACGCCGAAATGGATGGATTCCTTGTTGTCTAAAAATGTCAACAGGCTTGTCTGTTTGAGTAACTGGCTCAAAGCAAAGAATTAGTAGGCTTACCTTTTATTGGTAACCGTTACTGTTCATTTTTTCTGAAATAAGAGGCTGGGTTGATGAGCCTCTGGTGAATAAAGAGCAGTAGTCTGACTGCTATGTTTAAGCAAACTTGAGAAAAGTATTAAGCCATGGTTTAACTGCACTATAGGCTGAGTCCTAGTTTACCTTACATGTGCACTTTGTAATTTTATTTTGTATCGCGCTGTTTTGAACCCTTAGAAAGGGCTGTTGAAGGGGCTGTTTGTGTGACAAAGTATTTTTTTCACCCTTTTACTGATGGACAGAGTTACATTGCGTGAGAGATTTGCTCCAAGTGAGAATATTAGTGTGAAATTGAACATAGTATATGCCAATGTTGTTTTCAACAAAAACAACATTTGCACAAAGCAAGCTGATCCACTTTTCCATGTTGATAAGGAAATTAAAATGAGAACAAAATAATGGGACTCAAAGAAATCAAGGGACATTAAGAATAGATAAAAATGTGCGATTAATTGCGAGTTAAATATGACATTATTGCGATTAATCGCAATCAAATATTTTAATTGTTTGACAGCACTACTATTAAAAAGATTATCAATTTGGGAGGGACTAAAGTTACTATAGGACTCTGTTATATTCAGACATGGCATTGAATTAAACACTGATGGAATCTCCCCGTTAAATTTAGCAGATAGACATCAGCTGTAGGAAATTTTGCCTAATGGCTTGTGATCTAGTAATATGAATTCAAAAGTTATTAAATAATGGTCAGATAGGAAAGGATTATGTGGGAAGACTATTAAATGTTCAATATCAATGCCATATGATAGAACAAGGTCAAGAGTGTGATTTAAAACAATGAGTTGGTTTATTTACACTCTGACAGAAGCCAATTGAGTCTATTAATGAGATAAATGCATTACTAAGGCTGTCATTGTCAACATCCACATGGATATTAAAATCACCTACAATAATTACTGATTCCTGATTTAAGGACTAAACTTGATAAAAACTGAGAATTCAGATAGAAAATCTATCATGTACATATTATGTATGTATGTATGTATGTATTTATATGGTGGATCTGTGACTGCTTCTAGTAATGAGATATGTCTTATAGTGTTGCTTCCCGTGAGTAAAAGAGTGAGTGAGAGTGTACAGTGGGTACGGAAAGTATTCAGAAACCTTTTAAATTTTTCACTTTGTTTCATTGCAGCCATTTGCTAAAATCAAAAAAGTTCATTTTATGTACACTCAGCACCCCATCTTGACAGAAGAAACCCCCAGAAATGTAGAAATTTTTGCAAATTTGTTAAAAAAGAAAAACTGAAATATCACATGGTCATAAGTATTCAGACCCTTTGCTCAGTATTGAGTAGAAGCACCCTTTTGAGCTAGTACAGCCATGAGTCTTCTTGGGAATGATGCAACAAGTTTTTCACACCTGGATTTGGGGATCCTCTGCCATTCTTCCTTGCAGATCTTCTCCAGTTCTGTCAGGTTGGATGGTGAACGTTGGTGGACAGCCATTTTCAGGTCTCTCCAGAGATGCTCAATTGGGTTTAGGTCAGGGCTTTGGCTGGGCCAGTCAACAATGGTCACAGTTGTTCCGAAGCCACTCCTTTGTTATTTTAGCTGTGTGCTTAGGGTCATTGTCTTGTTGGAAGGTGAACCTTCGGCCCAGTCTGAGGTCCTGAGCACTCTGGAAGAGGTTTTCTTCCAGGATATCTCTGTACTTGGCCGCATTCATCTTTCCTTCAATTGCAACCAGTCGTCCTGTCCCTGCAGCTGAAAAACATCCCCATAGCCTGATGCTGCCACCACCATGTTTCACTGTTGGGATTGTATTGGGCAGGTGATGAGCAGTGCCTGGTTTTCTCCACACATACCGCTTAGAATTAACGCTAAAAAGTTCAATCTTGGTCTCATCAGACCAGAGAATCTTATTTCTCATAGTCTGGGAGTCCTTCATGTGTGTTTTGGCAAACTCTATGCGGGCTTTCATATGTCTTGCACTGAGGAGAGGCTTCCGTCGGGCCACTCTGCCATAATGCCCCGACTGGTGCAGGGCTGCAGTAATAGTTGACTTTGTGGAACTTTCTCCCATCTCCCTACTGCATCTCTGGAGCTCAGCCACAGTGATCTTTGGGTTCTTTTTTACCTCTCTCACTAAGGCTCTTCTCCCACGATTGCTCAGTTTGGCTGGACGGCCAGGTCTAGGAAGAGTTCTGGTCGTCCCAAACTTCTTCCATTTAAGGATTATGGAGGCCACTGTGCTCTTAGGAACCCTGAGTGCTGCAGAAATTCTTTTGTAACCTTGGCCAAATCTGTGCCTTGCCACAATTCTGTCTCTGAGCTCCTTGGGCAGTTCCTTCGACCTCATGATTCTCATTTGCTCTGACATGCACTGTGAGCTGTAAGGTCTTATATAGACAGGTGTGTGCCTTTCCTAATCAAGTCCAATCAGTTTAATTAAACACAGCTAGACTCCAATGAAGGAGCAGGACCATCTGAAGGAGGATCAGAAGATATGGACAGCATGTGAGTTAAATATGAGTGTCACAGCAAAGGGTCTGAATACTTATGACCATGTGATATTTCAGTTTTTCTTTTTTAATAAATTTGCAAAAATTTCTCTCTCAAGATGGGGTGCTGAGTGTACATTAATGAGAAATAAAATTAACTTTTTTGATTTTAGCAAATGGCTGCAATGAAACAAAGAGTGAAAAATTTAAAGGGGTCTGAATACTTTCCGTACCCACTGTATGTGATGTATGTTGGCTCATGTGAATATTATGAACATCTTCCTATTTTTTTTGTTTTGTAGGTGTCACTTGTGTAACATATTGTCTGTTTTCCCTCAGGTTTGGGGTGGGGGGTTGTACATGATTATAATTGACATGGTGTTCAAATATGAATTTTGTGTTTACAATGTACAAATGTGAATATGGAGCATTGTTGCTGCTACTAATAATGAAAACATACTGAAATCAGGGGCCAGATGTATAAACAGTGTCTATGCACAAAAACAACGGAAAGAATGTACGGTGAGAATGTGTGCAATTCCACAGAACACGGACCAGGCGTACACAAAGTTTTCAAGAGATAGCTGTGGGAGAAATGATGAGGTGGTTGTGAAATATAAGGTGAGAGATGTAACCTTATAGTAAAACGATTCAAAATATATATTGCGCTACAGTAAGCAAGGCATTTTTAATTACTTAATTTTAGTAAAACTGTAATAATATAAAGAACCCACCACCATATGCATAAAATCTGAGTTTGCTACTAGAACAGTGTGATCTATTGGTGAGAAGTAGTCAATGTAAAGAGAAATTTTCTTTACAAGAAAACTCCACTGATAAAGATGAAGAAATGTATGGATTGCAAGTTTGTTGAATAATAAGCTAATAAATTATGCCAGCGTGGGGATTTAATAACTGCACAGCACTTTCACATCCACAGTGCTTCACACGAGTATTCAGAGACTGAATTACCTCCACATTAACAGAGGGTACCAGACATCTCCACTTTCACTGTCAGTGTTCACTCTGACTCTGCACCCAGCAGATTAGTCTGTAGACATGATTATCTACAGGGTCCGAAAAGTGCTACAGTAAGCCCAGTTCAAGCACCTAGTTTTGAACTTTTCAGAGGAAAAGTTGGTTCCCAGCTGGAACCAAATAGCAGGTTTCTCTTGGGAACCATTCCAATCAGACAAACAAGAGCCTGTCATGGACCAGCCTGCAGTTCTAGGCGGAAACACTTCACTGCATTAAACATTTTGATTATATTTTGATAATTCTATATGTGATTTGGTAATATCATGATTATTTTAAAACTTATTGTCCAGCCCAAATGTGAATTAGTCCTGTTTTTTTGCCTATGGTATTGAAAAAAAAGTCAAAAAAGCATTACATTTGATTTTAAAAAGTGGCAAATATTGTATGAGAAGTACAGTCTTCTATGAAGCTTTGTCTATAATGTTGACATTCAAGTTCAAATAATCATTCAACTGCTGCACAGCTTTTTGCATTTTCTTTTGCTTTTGTTTTTTGCTGTTCATTCTTCAGTGTACATGGTGTGAGGTCGGGACTCTACAAATGCGTATTGACTGGGTTATATCGCTGTCTCCATCTCTCCTATGCTTGTTTGTATCAAGAGCTGCTGATCTGTGTGTCTGTTTGACCGAGGGCGAGCTGAGCTACAAGCACACAGCTGACCGGATGAAGTGCGGCATCGGCTGCAGGCACTGACGCAAAATGTGGCTTCTTCATGCAGGGTTGAGCAGAGGTGTGTTTTTATTTCATATGTAACCGCAATGAAAATATCTGAAAATAACTTTTTATTTATCTTTTGACTGCTTTGTTATGGCATTAAACAGCCCCTCTCATCATTCAACATCTACCTGGCTTGACCACCACCGTACTCTCTCACCACACCAGCAACAGCAACCAACAAATCCTACTCATTCTATGTAAACTCAACAAAAAAGACTAAGGGGCTGATCACACAGAGATGTACCACCAAAATCATTGTTTTGCTATGGTACAGTGCACCTCGAGTGCGCTGCTGTCTTATACCGCACATTGCAGTTTTCTAGCATTTTTCAGATGAGCGTATAAGTACATCATATCAAGCAAGAGAATGACTTTACTACTTTCCCGCGTCCTACCTGTTTTAATGCCGTTTACTATGGTTATGTGATTGCCACCTAACTCATTTAATCTGATAAATGACTATTCAAATTTAGGATTTGTTTAAGGATTTAAAAATGTTTCCAGTGTGTTGATGATTCTGACATTGTACACTTCATTCAAAAACCTCAACAGAAGCTTCACATGTATAAAAAAAGAAAAGGAAAAAAAGACAGCCGTAGTCAGCACACACCTAGAGATGTAGATGTCCACTCTGTGGCAGTCTAATACCTTACAGAGTACACTGCCGATGGTAATTGTTACACCGGTCATATTTTCCTTTCTCTCTTATCTCTCCTCTCTATTGATTTTTTTTTTCACTTAATTACACACACACACACACACACCCACACACAGTGTCCCCATATTTTCCTTATTAGTGCTTTCCTCTCTCATTCCTACACTGTACTCCCTCCATTTGAAATGGTGTCACTGCTCATCATTGAGCAGAAAAACACAGTTCTATTCATGTTTGATCTATTTTTTACTGTTCATAGAAGAAGAAACATTCTGGGGAAAAACAAATGAAATCTCCCAGCAGTAATGAACAAAACAGCAGTGTGAGAATTGATTAGTGTCTCTTAACAGGGTTAACTGTATGTAATTGGACTATTTCTGGCATGGCAGATTAGACTAAATCCAGACTTTATCTCAGAGCTGTCTGCCTCAGAAGGAGCAAGGGCTGTGGTGTTTGCTCCTCTGTAAGCCTCAAATGCCTGCAGGTATTTCGGGAGATAAACTCCGGCCATGGCCCTGGCCTCTGTCCTGCTCCCACCGCCAGCAATAAGCTCCCTTCCTCTGTGAGCTTTGGGGTATTAAGTGCCAGGATCAGTTTTTATTATATCAGTCTGTTTCTGCCCACGACAGTGGTCAGCTTTAAGATTTGCAGCGCTGCCACAGGAAGGATGCACGTTCACAAAGGCTACAGCCCTCCTGGCAGCTGTAATGGTTATTCTCTCTGACTTATGGTCCCACAGGAGCAAAATAGTGTTGATTTATTGTAGACTCATAGTTTATTGTCTGGCTCTCAATAATGCATATGTCATGGAGGTTTTGACCCTGAGCTTGGACAATAACAGACAAATCAGTTTGTACTCTGGGAACAGTTGGAAAAAGTTATGATTTTTATACATGGGTCATGTGCATTCCATTTGGCATTATGGGAAATTATTAGGGCCCGAGCGCTGACCGTGCGAAGGCCCTATTGTATCTGTAGGAATTCTTATTTTTCCTCCCAAATGAACGCGTATTTGGAGGCCGCAACATGCTCGAAAACTCATGAAACGCGGCGCACATGTCAGTCGTGGTGAAATATTTAATATTTTCTAGGGGTCCACTATGGCATGGCAAAATGGCCCCTCAGGGGCTCATAAACTGTACCCTCCGGGGCCCATTTTACCAATATGCATAAAAATCGACACATGCATAGATCTTATCCAGTCACCAGTTATTACCCAACAGGAAGTCGGCCATTTTGGATGTAGCGGCCATTACTGGCGATTTGCACAAGTTGTATTTGAACTCCTCCTAGGGAATTGATCAGATCGACTTCAGATTTGGACAAAGCCATCTAAAGACATTCACAATGAAAAGTTGTGCTATTCCATCGAACGGTGTGCGCGTGGCATGGTGTGGAATTTCAACGACTCGCCATGAAAGAGGGATTTGTCATAACTTCTGCATGCATGATCCGGTGTCAACAAAACTTTTTGATAAGAGTCCCGCCCTTTTTTAAATCTTGTCTCCAGGAAACATGAGGATCCCCATGCTGTGAAGAACTGATATACTACTGTACCGCCCCCCCCACCACCCCTTTATCCTTTGTGTTGGTTTGTTTGTTTTGTTTTGTTTTGTTGTTGATGTTTTTTGTTGTTTTTGTGTATGTTTTGTTGTTGTTATCAAAATATTAATAAAAAAAAAGAGTCCCGCCCTGAACACGTCTATGTGATAATATTCAGTAAGAGTGAGAGCGCCACCTAGTGGTGAAAGGAAATGTCATTTTTTATACTTCAATGTTCTACTCTTAGCAGGATGATCAGATCCAGCTGAAATTTTGTCAGGAAATGCGAAACATGTTGTTGATGATATTTCATGATTGTGGTGACGGTTTGTTAAAGGACATGTCCGTGGCGTGATGTACCGCCAGAGCACACAAATTTGCTGGAAATTTCAGCATAACAACGACCCAAAACACACAGCAAAAGTGGTGAAGAAATGGTTAGCGGACAAAAACATTAACGTTTTGCAGTGGCCCAGTCGGAGTCCTGACTTGAATCCAATTGAGAATATGTGGCGGGAGCTAAAGATCAGGGTGATGGCAAGGAGACCCTCTAACCTGAAAGAGTTGGAGCTCATCACTAAAGATGAATGGGCAAAAATACCAGTGGAGACATGCAAAAAGCTGGTCAGCAATTATAGGAAGCGTTTGATTGCTGTAATAGCCAATAAAGGCTTTTCTATTGATTACTGAGAAGGGTATGAATAATTTTGGACATGCCACTTTTTGTTCAAATGTAAATAAAAGCTGAGAAAATTTTTTTCCACAATGATGCCTCTTGTACATCGTCTAATTATCTTCTGGGAGACGCCTGTGTCCTTTCCAATCGAGAAAAAACTTGCTTGTTGAATAAAAGTAACTTTAAGTCAAAATTTGCCAGCGATATGAATAATTTCGGGCTTGCCTGTACACTGTAAAGGCTTTGAGCTGCCTTTTATGTATGAAAGGTGGTGTATAGGGTGGCTGTAGCTCAGAGGTAGAGCGGGTCATCCACTAATCTTGTTGAAGTATCCTTGAGTCAATGCGGTAGTTTCTGTTCAATTGAGTTTGCCATCACTGTGTGAATGTGTGTGAAAGGGCAAATGTGGCACATAGTGTAAAAGCGCTTTGAGTGGTTGGAAGACTAGAAGGGTCCATTTACCAAATCTTGTTATTATTCCACTAATGTTCAACATTTAACAAAATGTGTTGTCCAATGTGTTCTTTAATGTGATCTAGATATTGATCTAGATATTTGACTGAAAAAGTATTTTCTGATTGATATTCGTGTGTGTGTGTGTGTGTGTGTGAGAGAGATAATTCTCTATCATTTCAATTTTATTTGTATAGCGCCAATTCTAGTGCTGTCAAACGATTAAAATATTTAATCACGATTAAGCGCGTTAATGTCATAGTTAACTCACAATTAATCGTGCATTTTTATCTATTCTAAATGTTCCTTGATTTCTTTTTGTCCCGTTATTTTTTTCTCATTTTAATGCTCTTATCAACATGGAAAAGTGGATCGGCTTGCTTTGTGAAAATGTTGTTTTTATTGAAAAATCAACCATTGTCACCTGGCGGTGAATTCGCATCAGCTGTGTGCTTGGCCATCAAGTGGTATTTCAGACTGGACGTGCTGCGATGATAGCTCAGTTCACAACGACAAAACACACAGATCACTTTGGTCTTGTCAATGGAACCATTTGGCAACTTTTTAAAAGTAAACTTTCCATTCAGAATATTATTGGCATCCATTTCGGCGTCTCACGCTCGCCATCCACTCAAAACGTAACGTCTACTACTCTTAAACAAGTGTGTGCGGCGTGCCTGTTGTTTTGTTTCCGGTCTAGCTTGATCCGGTGTGGTGTTGTAGTTTTTCTAACATTACGAGTTGTTGCAACAGCATGTGAAAAAAACTACAAAGTGTGCTAGGCCAAAAAGAACGTTAATCTTGCGATAAAAAAAGTGACGCAGTTAAAATGGGTTTGCGTTAATGCCGTTAATAACACGTTTAACTGACAGCACTAGCCAATTCATAACAGAAGTTATCTCAGGACACTTTTCAAATAGAGGAGGTCTAGACCGAACTCCTTATAACATTATTTACAGAGACCCAACAGTACCACCATGAGCAAGCACTTGGCGACGGGGGCAAGGAGAAACCTAGGACAGACCCTTCAGCTCTAGGTGGGTGGTCGTCTGCCTCGACCAGTTGGGGTGAGACAGAGAGACAGAGAGAGACAGGCAGGCAGCCAGGCAGACAGGTGCACAGCAACAACAGTAGCAACAACTACACTAATAGTAGTGACTGATGACGATGAACATGAAGATGATGACGACGACGACAACAACGATGGGGGACAATGAGCAGTGATTATAGTAATAATAGTATCTGTAGTAATAATAATAATAGTAGTAGTAATAATAATAACAATAATATCAGTGATATTAGCAATTGCAGTCAAGCAGGACCATGGCAGGAGGCTCCACCATGATCCATGAGAACCTGCGAGACGAGAAAGCACAAGAACTCCGGGGAAGAAGTGAAGTTAGTAACATGCATTAATGGGACATGAATGAGTGTAGAAAGAGAGGGAGAGGAAGAGAGGTGATCAGTGCATCATGGGAAATCCCCCGATAGTCTAGGCCTATAGCAGCATAACTAAGGGATGGTTCAGGACTCACCTGAGCGAGCCCTAACTATAAGCTTTATCAAAGAGGAACGTCTTAAGTCTACTCTTAAATGTGGAGAGGTTGTCTGCCTCTGGAACTGGAAGCTGGTTCCACAGGAGAGGAGCTTGGTAGCTGAAGGCTCTGCCTCCTGTTCTACTTTTTGA